TACTGGTGAATTAAGGCCAGTGGCCTATTATTCGAAGAAGTTGACCCCATCGGAACGGAATTGGCAGGTCCACGACCAGGAGTTGGGCGCAATTATTGCCTGTTTTCAGGAATGGCGAGCTTGGTTGTTAGGATCTACGGAAGCTGTTGCGGTGTTGTCTGATCATGCTAACTTACGTTATTTCATGACAGCGCAAGATTTGACGCCACGACAAGCTAGATGGTCATCCTTTCTTGGGCAGTTTCAATTCGAAATTCTGCATACTCCCGGACGGATGAATCCTGCTGATCCTGCTTCTCGACGTTCTGACTTAACTGAAGGGAAATTATCCTCCAATAAGGTTGTTTTGTTAGGGTTACGAGATGTCAAGAATATGTCGGTCCAAGTGGTCACCTTGCGGAAAGATTTGATAATGGGTCAATCAGATCCATCCTATTTCTTGCCTGCTTCTTTGGAAACGCAATCTTGGTTCCATGGCTTGTACTCGACGGATCCATTGCTGCAAGGACGTCGACCAAAACAACTCACCTATCAATGTAATTTGTGGTGGTGGCGCGATAGGCTCTACGTTCCTTTGGCGGCTTGGGTGGTTATCATGCGGCAAATGCATGAGTCTCCGGCGGCGGGTCATTGGGGCAGTATGAAGACTCTGGACTTGTTGACTAGGACTTTTAGTTGGCCTAACATTCGGGATGATTTGCTGATCTTTTTGAAATCTTGCATTAGTTGTCAACGAGTCAAAGTGGATCAAAGACCACCCCAGGGTGAATTAGTTCCTTTACCTGTCCCGGAACGACCATGGTCTACGATCGGCGTCGATTTTATTGTTAAGTTGCCGTTGTTGCGAGGTTTCGATTCGATAATGGTGGTTGTGGATCACCTAGGGAAAGGCGCTCATTTTATTCCGGCTAAGGAATCGTGGAATGCTGAGCAGTTGGCAGATACCTTCATCACTCATGTCTTTAAGCATCATGGGTTGCCTGATGTCATTGTATCAGACCGCGGTACAACTTTCGTTTCTCGTTTTTGGACGGCTGTACTGAAGTTATTGAATGTTTCCCCAGCTCCCTCGACAGCTTTTCACCCGCAGACGGATGGGCAGGTCGAGCGTATTAATGCTTTGGTAGAGGATTTTCTCCGTCATTTCGTGTCAGATGATCAGTCAGACTGGGTTTGGTGGTTACCTGTGGCCGAGTTCTCTTACAATAACTCTCCGTCTTCCTCAACTGGATTCTCGCCGTTCTTTGCGTATACGGGTTGTCACCCGCGTTTTAATTCTTTGATTGCGACATCTGGGGTGCCACAAGCTGACAACTTTGTTGAACAATTGCAGGAAATCCATCATGCTTTGAAAACAAATTTTGAACGGGCTAAAGCATCTCAGGCAAAGTTTTACAATGGAACACGACAAGTACCTGTGGTGTATGCTCCCGGGGATCTTGTTTGGCTTTCACGACGGAATTTGCGTACCTTGAGACCTTCAAACAAGCTGGATGTTCGGCGGATCGGACCGTTTCAAGTCAAAAGAATGGTGGGAAAGAATGCTGCTGAGTTAATTTTACCTTTATCTCTTCGACGGTTACATCCAGTCTTTAACGTTTCATTGTTGTCTCCGTTTTTTGGGGAGTCTCTGCCGGTGGTTGAGACCTTCGATGTTTTAGAAGACCAAGATGCAGGGATCACGTCTTTTATCATTGATTATAGGCTCACGGATCGGGGTATTCATGAATATCTTTTACGTGGAGGGGATACTTCTGGTTTAGATGACGTTTGGACGCCTTTGACGGAGATATCGACTGCTTTAGATCCGTGGTTGAAGAAATTTCATGTTCTGTCGCCTGTTTGTGGTGTGGGTCCGTCGGATTCTGTTTGGGAGGCGCGTTCGAGGATTTATTAGAGTTTTGAGTATATGGTAGATCATATTTTGTCATAAACGTGTTTGGACGTTTTCTGTTGTTAGGACACGGATAAGGGACCTTCTTTTATGTATAAGGAACCATGTTAGATCTTAATGTTAGACATTTTATTTTAGTTTTATAGTAGTTTTATCTTTGTTATGGGATGATGTCATCTTCTGTTACGGTTTCTGTTGTGCCTGATTTAGTTTCTCTTTTTCTATATAGTTTGTTTTGTTTCTGTTCTCTGTCTCCTTTTCTTTATCGAAATTATTATCATCTTACTTTCCATTTTAAAAACTCATTTACCAAGACCAGACCAGGACGGGTTTCAATCGTCTAAGACCAGACTTTGTATTTCATATACAAGGTAGAGCATCACAAGTGGGCTTGATGGGCGCAATATGTAGTGAAGAGATGGGTCAGGTACTTGAATCACGAAACAGACCCTGGGTGACATTTGAACATGTCCTTTTTCGTATCTTGCCTTGGAATATATATATATTTGTTGTACGAAACCAGAAGCGACGTTGTCATCCATCAGCCATCGTGAGTTCGAGTCGACTTTGAGTATAAGATTGTGATCAGATCGCGATACTGAAGTTATCCCTGCCTCATACTCACTTCAGTCTTTCGTCCATAGATTGTCAATAGCCAAATCAAAACCAAATATCACAGCTTCAATTTTTTCTCCTTACTAGAGAATAGGCGGGCAAGCCCGCAACAGTTTGTATGTCCCTTGGAATGCATAGCTCTTAGAATAGTAACTGCAACATAAGACAGGAAAATGGCAATGCTACCCCAGAGTTTTCAATGTACCAACAGACCACAACCAACTTGATCTTAACTCACATTACTTTAAATTCCAATTGTGCTAACTAAGTGGAACAGATTTGGGAAACACTGGACACCCGCCTTAATATCCTTGAAGAACTTAAGGACCTTGTCCAATTCTTCTGTGTCCATACTGCTTAGCCACAAACAATTCACGTTCTCTGTACTGGTAGAAACATGTGAAGCTAATTCCACCCAATTAAAGTCTTTTAGACCAGTTATCAAAAGTCTAAGCCAAAAGGCAAAGTTTAGCAATTTTGCCTGGTGCTGTGTAGATAGAACTCAACTTACGACCTCAATTTGTGATTTCTAGCGAGTGCCGCCCCCCTATTACAGGCTATGTGAATTCCATTTAGATGCCTATTAGGATTTTGTCATGGTTCCTTGAATGGATGTACAAAAGCTTGACATTTTCTTATCACCTTGACCCTTAACTCAATAATGCTAACCATGGTGCTACCATCTGGGATCTTAGGACATAAACACCAGTCTCCAGCGAACTTGATTTGTTCGCGTAGCTGAAAGCTTAATTTGATATTTGTATGGATTATTAGCATTAATACCTTTGCAGACAATTGAACTGTGAGAATCTCTCAAAGGATAGGAAGAAGTTGAATTGGTGGCCAACTTAAGCAAGAGTAAAAAAGAAAAATTTGATATATATTAAGAAATAGGCAAGACAAATGTATATGAGAGGGGATGAAAAAGAACTTCATAGACATCCATCAGTGTCCATTGGATCCAAGATGTTTAGCGATCTAGCCTTGATCTTATTATTTGAACCATTTGTGAACACCATTTCTTACAAAAAGGGCTCTGTGCGCATGAAGTGCAAAGCAGGTGTACTTGGAGCAGATGGGGGTTGCCGGGTGATGGGTGAACTGAGTGAGCACTCGGATTCAAAGATTATCCTGATTGAATTGGTGTGTAGGCACAAGGTAAGAGAAAGCAAGGCGGCAAAGGTTTTGTGGAAGTTTGGTTCAAAGCAATTCACAAAATAAGTTTAAGGGAGTTGATGAGAGATAGTTTGAAGAGGTGTTGGTTGGTATGACTCATTCCCAAAAAACATGAGCCTTTATACGCTTGGCTGTTAATGTGTCCAATATTGGGCAAACACAAACTAATCATAAGGCATGCAGGCAATGCAAAAAGCACAAAAGAAATTGAGTCATGGTCTAATTACCAAAAGTCTGCTTATCTTGCACTGAAAACGGATGGGAATGATGCAAGAACATGGCATCATGTGATAATGTCATGGAAGAGGACAAGCAAGAGCTGTTGTCTTGAATCATCCACCTTGTGGTCTGACCAATTGATGAAGGGTGGGTATTGCGCTGTGTTGTATAATGCGACGAAAAAGGCATTGTTCAACATCATGTATGGCCGAGTAAAGAATATTTAAAGGAAGAGGTTGATGTAAGGCAGGAATGCAAGTCATATTGGTAATCCAGGAATCATCGGATACATCGCTTGTGGGACCATAATCGGATGTGAATCCTTTGTGAATCCGTGCAGGGGACCATTGGAGAAGTAGTCAATTCAAAAGTCAAAGTGGAGAAGGTCGATTGAACAGTCAAAGGTAAATGCAATTGATGAAAAGTCACATATCATCAAAATGGATCAGGAACAAAAGGAATTGGAGGGGATACAATCAAACAAAAAGAGAAAAAAACAGAAAAGCAATCAGTAGAAAGATACAAATAGGGAGAGCATTCAAAGGGTTGCGGGAGTTGCGAGCGGCGCTCTCATGAGAGCGGCTCTCAAGTTCCCAGCCTGCGACGCAGCCTGACAGATGCCCCAATCAGTTGCGGACTGCCCGTTTGCGGAAAGTCATTACAAATAGTACCCGTCTGTGCATCGGATGTATCCCACCGCGCCGAAACACACCCAAACCAAGTAATCGTTACCAACCTTCAGCGAGGAAACACACCCAATACTTAGTAATCTTCACTGATTAACATGATCGAATAATGAATGAAAAATCCAGGTTACAGGCTTAACCGCCGCGCAAAGGACACAAGCCTCACACATGATGCATCTGATCACCGCCCATCTTCGCTCTTTCAATCGTGCTTCGCCATAAATACTAATTGTTTAAACTTATTTATCACACGCCGTGAGGTCCATGTCATATGAACATTACTGAGAAATAAGCGGTAATCCGACGAGCCAGATAACCTGAAGCGTGTGTGTGAGTGACCATCCCAAATGATGATATAATAAAGTGGTATAAAGGCCACATCATGTTATAAGTAAGTAACATTTGTAAACATGCCAGCAAACAGATTATACGCTGAATTTCCTATCAATTCCGTAAACCCCTCCTTACCATTACCTTTACCGGAAGGCTCAAATCGCAGCGGCCTGCTTTGCCCGTCTTGCCAAAATCCTCATTCGACGACGTACTACAAACCCGTTGCTCAACCACACGAGCCACTAATCGGCATATCTGTACGTGATGAAGATATGCAATTTTATACCGCATAATTTAACCACACCACCTTACTTTGCACAGTGCCGCAAAGGAAGATATTATCGATCATATAGCCTTGCCCACGCCACAAAAGCAATCCTTCAACATAACTCGCGGCTGCAAAACCGGTTTTACCGAGGTAACCTAGATCTAGCCATGCAAGTAGCTCAACTTATGGACGGCAACCCCAGTGAAGATCCGAGATCTACTCAACCAACTACTCAACTTAAGAAGAAGAAAACACTGCCAATCCATCAACAATGCGTTGGATACAAAGGTCAATTTGGTGTTGGACACACAGCCCGTAAAAATGAGAGCTGCACCATCAAGACATGCCGTAATGTCAGTATGCATTATTTTAACTCGGCCAGAACCTGAAGTGACCCAAATGATATTTTTTTAGTGTTGCGAGCAGCTTAAACCGCCTAACCAACGTTGTTCCAAACATTCAGCAAATCCTAAGGCCAAACATCCAATTTCTGTGCCTCGGCAAACAGGCAACCGTCCCGAAGTTCAGGACGTTCGGCTAGATGAAGATGTCGATCATGAACCCCTCATGACCCAAGGTCTCACTCAATCTCAACCTCCTCCTCCTACTCTTACACAAGCGTCCCATGCCTTCTCCACCCCTCTCTCAGCCGCGCAGGTAGCACGCTTCCGAAGGACCACCATTCAGCAACAAGCCGAGGAACGAGAAGACAAAGACCATGTCTCAGTCGCCAGCAAAACCACTACGTTTGTGGTTTGGTCAGGTTTAGAGGTGATTAATTTCGGTATTCTCCCCTACTCACATATAAGCTGAGGTTGACCGATATAAATCAGGCGGGTGAACCCTTGCCGTGTGAAACGTTCCGAGTCTACGCACCGCGATGGCCTTTCTTAAAGCTCAATCAGTCCGAGACACTAATGGAACTTGTTCGAGATAAACTGGGTTCAACCTGGAATGGAGACCTTCGAGTATGGATTCCAGAGGAAAAAGGCTGGGTATGTTCAGTTCCTGTTACATCTTTAATGTTTGCTGTTGTTGACTGATTGTCTTACCGAATCGTGCTTGCCCCCCCTTGCTAATTCAGGTGAAGATGCAAACTTTGATAGTGGAGGAGTATAACCCGCACTATCGACGAATCCTCATATTATTTCCTGGAATTGTACCGGAAAAATGCAAGGAGATGGAATCCAACATCGCATTGGTAGGAAGTATGACCATTATCCAAAAGATGGATTTGCATAGTGTAATTAGTCCAGTAGCCTATTCACGATTTCACACACCTTCGGCCACACCGGCTACCCCTACCCCACATGCCATTGTAGTCAACATATCATCAGATGACGAAGAGGACGGTGAAGGAATTCACGATGGAATTGGCAGTCATCATCCTAGCTCTGACCTCCCAGAAGTGGAGGACATTATACCGACTAACCCAAACCCTTCTAACTCTAACCTATCTACGGCTGATGATGAACCCCCGGCACCTACTGACAACACGGAACCCAATGTAGTCACGCTATTTCCCTATCTAGAGCAAGGATGGCCCACCCAACCGAGACCTGTTTCGATGAAGTCACTGTGCGCTTTTGTGGCACTCACCGTGAAACCCAAAAACCTTTTGATCAAATCGGCTTTTAACAGGGTATACGGCCAAACTCATGTTTACGCTCCTTCGACCGTATCCAAATACCGTCGATGGGTTATAAGAATTGATGCAGAGGCGCTTAATGCTTACATCAATAACGGCAACCCCACGGTGATCGAAGCGAAACACAAGTTTTGATCTGAATGGATGGAGATGGACCATCGCGGTAAATCCCAGCGTCGTAACATTTGATTATACACTATGTTTGATTTACGTGGATTCTTATAACATGATTTAGTCAGTTTAAGTGTAAATAATTGTCGTTATAATTTTATTCCTTTTTTTTACTTATAAATAATTATGCGGTTTGACCTGTTTTTAGCTCTCCTATACCTTTTCATTTGTCAATAATGATTATTACTCCATTGATATTCAAATGTTATCTTTAATCGTTTTTTTGCTTATAAATATTTCTGCGGTTTAACAATTTTTATTATAGCTGTCGCATACATTTTCATATGTAAATAATCAGTCTTCTTCCATTGATATTCCAATCTTGATCTTCATGCTCTGTCTCTTCTTGAACATTGGTATTCTGACTTACAAATAAGTATCTTTGGTAATAAACCAATGAAACTAAGCTAAGCTAGCTGGCATGATGAATAGTAGATGGCATTAATCATTAATACCTAGGACGTTGATAGATATGTATTTGATCTACGCGTTAAGTGAAAAACATATTGATCCAAGTACCTGATCAGTGTGAAGTTTTATATACCTACTTGCTCGTATTATAGGTCATAGTGCACTCACTTGATTCAATGTAATTCGGATCATCCAAAACCATGAAAATATTTGAGACTAAGCTCGCATGTTGTGAAATGAATAATTTAACATTCACAGAAAATATTTGGGGACCAATCATATGAAACTGGCAAAGCGAGAGATCGCCATCCAAAAGACGCGCGATCAATCCATAAATAGGAAATCCCCCAGTCAAACTTGCAAGTTTTAGAATCAATTCTGAATCAATTCTGCCCTGTCATTTGTATCCATTTAAAACGGGCGCGTAGATTTTTCCGAACACCCATTTCCGATCATTAATGTCTGGAAATCGTGTCGTTCGGAAAAATCAATCTTTCTCGACACATTATTTATTTTTGCAAGCATTTGCAATTTTCATATGTTCGTAAAAAAAGTCTCTGTAAAAATCTGGTTGGAAATTTATTTCACAGATCCCCGAACATTCAATTTTGCGAGGGATCATTTCCGCACTTTAAAGTCTGTAAAAAATTAACATTGTAAAACTCAAACTTTCCGCGGGAATCTTTATTTTTCCATCTCTTTCATTCCGATGTAAAATGACAATGAAAAACCGCGGAAAAAAATTATCGTAAAAATAGAAAAAAGTCCATGCAATGTATATTTTTACAAGCAATGTTTCACAGCCATTCACGCGAAAATCGCCAGAAATGCCTCTCTAACTTTCAATCCATTCTACTTTGAAAATGCCAAGTTTTTCATTCAAATGGCACGCATCACGGCAGAACCAACAACAAACAAAAATTCTAAACAAAAATTATAATTCTAAGGTTTCTTCTTTGCACGTTTTGACCTCCGTGGAGGATTTTGTTCTTCCTCATGTTCATCCAGAGCCTCCTGGATAGCATTACCTTTGGACTCCATCTCCGGTTCTACCACAATTTCCCAACCTTTCCAACCTTTTGGTTTTTTCCTTTTTTTTGAAACCTGTTCTGCAACAGCATCCGTTGATACATCTTCCTGTTTGACTTTACGATTTGGCCGGAATACCACGGGAACAGGAACCTTCGCTGATGTTGTATTACCCACCGAAGCTGGTTCTGCACAAGCGCACAAAAATGTCAGTCAAGAATATATTTTCGTGCGCAACATGAGAACATACCTTCTTGCTCCACACTTTGCAAAAGGCTGTCTTCTACTATATTTTCTTCAGCAACCACTACAACTTCGGATTCCCTCAAGGGCTTTTGAGCAGGCTTTCGACCAGGCTTTCGAAAAGGCTTTTCATCAGACTTTTCATCAGGCTTTTTGGCGTCTTCTCCATCAGAGGAAAAGATGTAATCTATCTGCCGCTTGACATTAGTAGTATGTGCTGCAGCAATGAGGATAGACAAGCAAACAAAATATTAGATCAAGAAGAGCTGCACTTGGAAATTTAAAATTGACAAATCGCTCACCTCTTTTGGCCAAAGGAGCTTCATCTTGGTCTTCATATTCATGATCTAGGTCTTCTTTGGAAAGACCATTTTCTTCTTCTTCTTCAGAGTTCATCTCTCTGGTTTCTTCAAGTACCTCTGGTTGCGAAAATGGTTGACTAAGTACAAGCTTTTTGCCCAAGGATTTTTTGATTTTTGCATCTGCAGCCTTGGTTATAGATGATTCTTCCTCTGTAGGTGACCGAGAATACATGACCCAGGATGTATTAGGCGAAGGACCTCCAATGGACTCAAGTTTCGTAGAGACCAACCTCGCGAGACCAGCATTAACCTGATCATTTGCAAGCCACACAGCGGCTACGCCGCCCACAGTTCGTACCACTTTACACCAAAAGTGATTGCCTCCCCAATAACCACGCGCACGTATCCAGTAAGTGACACCATGCAGGATCAATTCATATGGAAAGTCACAATCGGCCATCATTGTGAATGCTTCTTCGCGGCGAGATTGCAATAACCATCCAACATCAATTGATATATGTAGGTGAGGCGGAGGTGGATCAAATAATATTTGAGACTTTTCACCATAAGCCGTAGATTCAGGATTGTTCGAATCAGACCGTGACTTATTGGTCTTGCAGAGTCTACAATGTCGTGCCGATGTTCGACGAAGCCCGGTATCAGAACACCATTGCTGAAGCAGGGCTGGGGTCTGAGCGTAAGAAAATTCGTCGCCAAATGTCGCCTCCGTCAAAGTGATCTTGTTACATCTGACCGTGTCAATTGTGCGATGTTCAGAGTTCTGTGGACAGACCAGCTTACGTCTGTGGTCAACCTGAAACAACCTTTTGGTGATAGCAGGTGACACAGGATAATGTGGTCGAGATTCCAGATCAAAGATTCCATCAAAATACCCATCAGCAGAAGCCATGGCATCGTATTCGAAGCTTCCAGGAGCTCTCTTCTGAATAGCAGCATGGAGCGTGTTTTGACCGCTGGTTAATATGGTCTTGATAGATCCTTTCTCGCACATTTCCCATGTAGACCGAGAAGAAAAAAAGATCATAAGATGGGTAAAGATATGTTCTGATTTCCCCTTAGATCTGCTGTACCAAAGTGGCGTATGCAATGCATACAAGCACTCTGTCATGGCATTGAGCCAGCACCGGTTTCGACGTCCCTGTGTATTAGAAGCCACAAATCCCTGATATGTAGTAACGGGATTGCGATCTACATTAACAGACCCTTTAGGTCGTCCAAGCTTCTTGGGACGGCCTAGCAAAGCATCGGTAGTGTCCGGTGGTCTTCCGTCGTTCTTTTCGCCGCGACGTCGAGTACGCTTTTTCTTAGCCCATCCTAGGGTTTGAGCAACTTTCTTGTAGTTCTTCATCTTCCCACCGTACTCAATTGAAACCCCATTTTTACGGTCCATGTGGTCCCTTTCAAGACTCTGCACCAATGCAAATAACTGCACCAGACCTATTTGAACTGTACAGTTCCCTTCGCTGGAAGAGATTGGAAGAAATATTAACATATATTTGTACCAGAGCGTGACTGAGTGGAAAATTTTCTACCATATCATGTAGTAAACCCGATGCAATGACTCCTGCGCGTTGGTTGTCGCCGGTAGGTGTTCGTTGCCGCTTGATTTGAAAAGCATGGCTTTGATGTCTGAAGCCTGCCACCATTGCAACCATTTCTTCGCTTTCGGGTAGGCCTTTCGTAATAGAGCAATCTTCTGATCAAAGGTGTGACCCCCGGGCTTGCCTGGTTTCAAAAGATCAAGAGCGTCGTGTTCAAATGAACTCTGTGATATGATACACGACGCACAATTTATTTAGTAAATTGACGGAGTGCGATGAAAAAATGAAATTGATTAAAGCAAATGCTTACTTCACTGCCTGCTGGTATAATTGCACGGTTTCTCTTGACTCTGGTGACCTGAGCTCGAAAATGCTCATGGCACCCTTTGATTTTGTCTAGTGCGACTTCACGATCATTCTCTTGAAATACATCCATGTACGCCATTATGAAACCATTCTTCTGTGCCACAGAAAAATCGACAACCTGACGGACCAGTGTATCACATTCCTCGGTAGTCAGTTCGGCATCTCGCATTTGCTCCATTAGGGTGGTGAAGTGGGCGCGGTAGTGTTCCTCCGACAGGCCATTCAACCAAGTCATTTGGATTGGAATCCATCGGCAGAGGTCCTCGTGATACATCGATGTTGACAACAGATATCCATTTGCGAAAAACTTGTAGGTTACGTCAGAAAGAAGGCCACCGGCGTATACTTGTTTGAACTCATCGCGTGACAATAGCTGCTGTGCCATCCATTCTGTTTGAAAAGTCAAGTGTGTGTTTTTGCGCTTAAAGGATGCCGAGATAATGCTCAAACCACACCTGAATAAGACAAGATCATTGTCAAAGGTTAAATGTCAAATAATACAGTGACATTAGATACTCAAATGTAACTAACTCGATCCAATGTATCATGTCTAAAAGGAAGCTGTCACCGGCACCCGGAACATTCTTTTCAGGAATTAATCCTGCATCTGAAAGGATCTTGCGGCGATAGTATCCAACGCGATGGATGTGTCCAAACGCAGGATGAATTGCAGAGGCAGTAACGATCCCTTTTTTGCCTGCTGGTGCTCGTCCCACCTGGAAATTGAGTGAGTATGAACTGGAATTGTCAGTGTGGTTCATATTTTTGCAAGATAGGCAATCAGGTACATACTTTGAGTCGTAATGGCCCCACATCCGGGTTTTCAACGACCTTTTTGGCAAATTTTTCCTGGGCAAGCTTATCTGGTATTCGTCGCCGAGGCCATTGGTGAAGATGGACACCAGAGTGCCGGATTATACCCCAGCCGCTGGGGCGATGCTCATCCATACGGCATAAAGTGTTGGAGCAGGTGACGTGGCGAAGAAATCCAGGGCACCGTGCGGCATCACACTTTTGAGGCCTAGAGACGTAATTGGTTAGTTTGTGAAACCTCACGTGAATAGATACCACACTCACTTGGTGTGAAATTTGTCTCTCTTGTCCTTTGCAGTTGGAGGCGAGCCGAGGTGGTCACAAGAAGGGTTATCGCAGACTATAACACCTAAGCACTTAAATCTGACTGTTCGCCAGATGGCTTTGCCATTGTTAGTGCCCCCTCCAGAAGTCGTATAGGTGTAGGCAAATGTGCCCCAATTAGCAAGTTGCTGTTGTGGCTGCCTAACATAGACGGTATTTCCATTTGGAAGAAATGGATATCCTTCGTCGTCGAGGGTGGTGTCTGCGTCTATAAAGGTTTTGAAAGAAGTGCGGTCCTGTGGAAGGCCAAAAGTCTTCTTGCCCTTGACGCCTTCTTTCTTCTTCTTAGATTTGGAAGTGGTAGTTTGGTGAGGCTGATCGCGAGAATTGGTGACATGGATATCATCTTCTTCATGAAAGGATTGGTTGCTTTCATAAAAGTCTCCATCGTGTTTGAATTGATCTTGAAGTCCTTCATCTTCAAGGTCTTCATCGTGTTTGAATTCATCTTGAAGTACTTCATCTTCAAGTTCTTCATCTTCGAGTTCATCTTCAAAGTCTTTGGCTGAAAGATCATCTTTGAAGACAGATGAGTTATCCGAATCACTACTCATCTCGGTGGACTTGAGACTTAGAGGAATTACGGTCACTTGGAATGAATAAATGACCAGTGATGTAAGTAATCACTGAGACAAAGACGGTGAATTGGTTGAATTGAACCAAAGTTGATGAAATGAACGATCAAAAAAAATGATGAAAAAATTTGTCTATCTTCCTTGAAGATAGACACGCATATGTATCAGGAGAGTGTGGGTTTCTTGAGAGGCTTGAAAGACTCTTAAGAGACCCTGCGATACCCTCCATGAAGGCGTGTTTTTGTACATGGACTTTCCAGTTAGCTGGATTCAGTCTGGGATTCAGTGGTACGTGTTTTTGTACAACTCGTTTCCGGTTAGCTGTATTCAGCCTGGGAATGAGGATGCGGTGGATGTCCTTTGAACTGGTTTGATCAAAACGGTGTCCCTTGTTGAGTTTTTGTGCAACAAAGGACACCGTTGTTAACGAAGAAGTGGGACGTGTCCGTGGCTTTCGATGGTGGGGTTATAGACTCCCGAATCAGTGCGTCTCGCGAGTAATTGATTGATGGAATGGTGAGTGAAACATCAATCCTTGGGATGGAATTGGAACAACATCAATCCTTAGGATTGGAACAGGTATTTCACGGATCTTTGGGATCGAAAGTCGACTATCAGCCTCAATCTCTTAGACTGGAATTGTTTCGTTGCAAAAGTCGATTTTTGAGTAATTACGTTGATTTTATCGAGCAATCGTTTCCGGACATTTTGTGATGTCTGCAAAAGAATTATTGTAAAAGTCACGATTGAGGGCATTTTTTTGGTTTTTCGGATGAAAATTGGTTCCGAACATTAGTTGTTGGAAATGTTTGATTGTAAATTTCAACATTAGCCGGTCTCAAAGTTAACCCGGTTGCCAAAAAACCCGGTACACCCAGTTTTTTTTTGGCGGTAACTGGGTGTACCCTGGTGTACCGGGTTTGGAGTTCAGCTTTCAGACCCAAACACCTATCTTCAAACCCACCCAACCCATCCTTTCTCCTTTTCCACGATGCCGACCTCCACTGTCCGCCGCGACGCCTTGGCCTACCTGAACTGTTTCTTCGCACTTCAGGTAGCGTCTCTGGCCACCAACTATTACAACACAACCACGAACCCCAGCAACTTCACTAACATGTTGGCCGCAGTGATTATCCTCGATCAGCTTGATTCCAACGACGCTACAGGAGATCAAAACTTGCAAGACAGTCTGCTCTTAATGGCCTCTCAGTTGATCATGACTAGCACATTTGATGCTATGACATTCAGTCGTGCTCAAAAGCGCCGATACATGGAGGACGAATCGACCCTGGCTATCTTGGCTTTTGGAATAGAACATGCGCAGAAGAAACGATATCTTGTCCATAGAATCCCTCGTTTGATGCGACGTGAGAGAAAGTACGCCTGTTTCGACGAATGGTGGAGTGAGAATGATCGAACATGGGGTGTTGCAGTATGTTATATCTTCTTGTTTTCATCTCATTTCCAAATGACTGATTTGTTCTTTGGTATGTAAAAGGCCCGGATGTCAAAGCCCGCTTTCAACACCCTTGTAGACCAGATAGCAGATGATCCGATATTTCACAACAATTCAAACGTCTCTCAAGCTCCCGTTAGATGGCAGCTCTTGGTCGCCATGGCAAACTTTGGGCTCTCTGGAAATGGTGGACAGTGTCGAGTAATAGCAAAACTGTTCTCAATGGCAGGTAAGGAAGCACTTCGTGAGTGTATATCACGTTGACTTAAAACATGTACTGACAATTGTTTTAGAAGGGAGCGTGGATAATTACACGTACCGTTGTATTCAGGCGCTCAACAGAATCGAATCCAAATATGTCAAGTGGCCTACTCCTGAAGAACGAAACGAGATCAAATCAGCCATTGGTTCCACTTCATTTTTCAAAGATTGTGTGGGTTTCATCGATGGAACCCTTATTCCTCTAGCATATGCACCACAGAAGAATTGCGAGGACTATTATTGTCGAAAGTCCTTCTATGCAGTGAATTCTTTGATCATATGTGATCATAGAAGACGTATCATCTATGCTCACCACGGATGGTGTGGAAGTGCACACGATCAAAGGGTCCTTAAATCAACTGAGGTAAGTCCTCCTTTGTCTTTTCGCACGGAAGAGTTACTGACGTGTTTAAGTTTTCTTTCAGTTTTCAAAAATATGAATCTT